AGTGAATGTCATAGGATGAAAGGCCTTGAGCAAAACTATAGCAGTATGAAGGCGCTGGAGATCTCCTGGAGAGAGACTGGAAAGCTCTTTGCTCATTGTAACTCTGTATCTAGTCTAGAGCACATAATGAATGAGGAGGAAATACTGGTAAGGAATGCCAGGGAGCAACATATGCGGGAGGTGATGTCACACAAGGAGTTTGAATTCTCTCTCAGAGTACCTGTAATGGAATATTTTGAAAGCAAGACAGTGTCACAAACAGGCATTCTTTATAGATTATCCTTTGTCCTGAGTGTGTAGGAAAGGCTGAAATGAAACAGACTAGAGGAAGGATCTTAACCATGTCTGACTTAGGAAACTGAGAAAAGAAAACACATTTCAGAGAGCAGGTAGGTGCTGGAACTAGAATTGTTGGCTGATTATTTAAATGTAGGAGTGTGAGCACTCAAAGGAGGCAAAGAAGCTAGAATAGCCTAGGCCATGAATACCAGCAACTTCCAGGGAAGATTTTTGATGATGCGAAGTTAACTCTCCTGGAAAACAGTCTTATTCACCACCAGAACCCATCAGGCCTCAGCAAATATCTGCTGCATGAAAACAAAACTATACTAACAAAGGCCCATAAGGCCCAAACCAGAGAGTTTAGCAGACTCTGAGCCAGCACAGTTTTATATTTGATTAGGAAAAGATTGATGCAATATGGAGGTTTATTATGTCATTGAAATGATAAGAATCTCCCTAAGGACATATTGAAATTTTCATCTAGTTTAGACTTCACACCAAGAAAATGGGCAAATGCGATCCTCAGCTGGGGTGTGTGCTACAATGACATCTGGCTTGGAGTATAACATTAAAAATTGTCTATCCTTAACTTTCTGTATAACAAATATAAAGCTTGAATAATATCCTCTAAAGCACACATTTTCTATTTGTGCTATGAAAAAAAAGCATAAATCCAGAAGCCAGTTTGTTAATGCCCTAATAGATTCTGACATATGAGCATCTTCAGCAGGATCTACAAAATACTTAGAGCAAACTCTCAAGTATGAAACAAATTCATTACTAAAAATAACCTGACTTAAGTCCTTTTAATAGTTCTCTCAGCTCACCCTGTGGGTGTAGATATATCTGATTCTATCTGAAGCTTTCAAATCACATAAATGTGCAGCCATCAAATAATCACAAAACAGCATTTCTATTAAAAAGTAGGAATGGATGACCAAGACACTTAAAAAACATAGATATTTTGCGGTTTTTAAAAATATTCCCCTGATTTGTCACAAACAGTAATTAATATGTGCATCCACTGAGTAAAGTTGTGATATTTCCATCATTGAAATTCTTAAACACTGATTAAGAATTTGTCCTGAAGGCTAGTCAGTCTTAAGGCTAGTCAATTTATTAGGAAGGAAGAAAACAGTTGAGTCCATGGAGTCAGGTGCCACTATTATTATTTTGGATTGATTTCCATTCTGGTGCTCAATGGAAATTTAAGAGGTTGTATGTGTAATTACCAAGTACAATTTCTAAATTTTCAATTACTTGTTATAAATTTGAAAATTTAATTCAAATTGAGTTCTGATTTTATCAACATACTATCACATTGTTTCACCTATTAAACACCAAGATCATCTAATATATACGACAGATACATTATCAAATTGACCAACAAGTATGGATGTCTCTTTGTTACCTTAGATACTCTGTTGAGTCTATGAGAGAATGTAAAGTTATTACATGGGCTCTGAGACACTGGAATGTGTTAGAAAACGAGTTTATTACATGATCTGTGAGCTCCTTAGCAGTGGAGTCATATTTTTCTCTCAATCCCCAGTAGAACCTAACATAGTCCTCTGTAGAAAGTAGATGAGGAGTAAATACATTGGACAAACAAACATATTTCTTTAGGAACATAGTGGCATAGAAGATATGCTTGATTTGGCTAAGACTGTATTTTATTCTTCTAGGAAACCTCTAAACTCAGACCAGTGCCTGGAACAGAGTAGAAGGAGTTTAATAAATTTTGAATGAATGGTATTCCTTGACTAAGGTCCTGGTCTCTATAGACTAAAGTATGTAACTCTTGGCAAAAGCAACCAAGCATACATGGACATTATTTTACAGAAAACCTCCCAAATGTAATATGAATCACCTGTTACCACTGTCTTCTATAGTTAATTTTCCAACAGAGACTCTGCAAATAATTAATATTGTTAAGTGAAGTGTCATGATTTTATTTCCTGATTCAATCTCTGTCAAATACATTATTAGTGAAATGGCCAAGAGGGATTAGAGAAAGGAGTTCTGGAAAATCATGAGATTAATCCAGTCAAACATGAGCATCTCAGTGGATACCTTTTCATGAGTGCTCACTGAAAGAGTAGGTGGATGAGCTAGGAACAGTTCTGAAGTAGAAAAGTACCGTGAGAATTCTTAAGGAAAACTGACACTTAACACCAGTAGTGTATATTATGAAATAAGGAAAAAGACTATTCTGATTGGATAACTACATTGATATTTATCTATATCCTAAACAACATAGATTTGACAAATACAAAATAATATGCTCAATGTATGTGTGAATATTTAAAAGATATTCATTGCAACACACAATTTAGTCAGGAAATAGAAAAGAACATGAGGATTTTATATAAATTCCTCACACTAAAGGGGCCAAATGGCCTTAAAAAAACAGAAGTTGTCTTCAAGGTAGGAGAAAATGAAAAATTCTATTACCTCCTTCATTCTTGCCATCCTCCTGCATCCTCAGGAAGCATCCTTCATTTCTCTTTGCCATTAACAATACAAGTATTGGCTGTATCCCAATGAACTTACTCAGATAAACACAATGTGGTTTTCTTTTAAAATAAGCTTTTACTGAATATATCAACAAGGTACTGTATAGTGTAGAGTGAAGTTTGTCATTAACAAAGTGTGTGACACAGTAGGTCTCAGAGGACGTGTGATGCAGAATCTTCCAGCCCCTTGTAGTCCCTTGTCAGCGAGAACACACTAAACATAAACCAGAAGCAAATCAACATATGGTTCAAACAATAACAAATTATCAGGATTAACTTTCAGTGAGTAAAGACTGGTCCTATGAGGAACACACAGTGGCGACGCCTTCACTTGTCTAAAAGATTACAAATCTTACATCCCCTGGATTCCTTTACAAATGACCCAGTGTGTGTGTTTGTGTGTGTGGTGTGTGTGTGCATGCACGAGTGCAATTTATAGTAGTTTCAAAATGTCTGTTGCGATGGCCTTGCTTTGTGCTCTTCTGGTGGGTGTGCTGCTAGAAAAAGAAAGATAAACAAAAACTATAGCAAAAGAATCTGATGTGTTTGTTATAACAACAGTATCATACATGTACAAAACTTTCTCCCCACAATCAGTGACAGGTATCCCATGGCGAGCAACTGTCTTTCCACGCTGCTGAAGAAATCAGAGAAGACTGTAAGCTACAGCTTCCTACATTAGTATTTTGTCTTAAAAAAAAAAAGAGTATCAGGCAGGGTTTGACAAGACTAAGAAGTAGCAGGGGTTTTGTTTGTTTTGTGTATGTATCTCTTTCTCTTTTGGGCACTTTTTTCTGTTTTGCTTTCTTACAAAGCTGGAAAATTAAATCATGAGCAAAACCATTATTCTCACGTTCTAAAAGAAAACTTAATGTCTCCTTGTTACAGGTTAGAGGAAAAGGCTATAAACAAAGTTAATGGAAATTAACTACCTCATGGTCAAAAGTTGCAGTGGGCTCTGTAGCCGAGGTTTGCTGATCAAGTTCAACATCTGCTCCCTGCGGACTGCGACAATATTGCCTTGTGTCTGGAATGGATGCTTTGCACACATGAAGAGCTAGTCCTCCTCAGTGGGGAAGGAAGTTCTGAGGATCTGCACTAGTAGGAAATAGGGCCATAATATTAGCTACGTCATTAATACTTTTTATCAGACTGGTCACATTATGCTTTTTTTTAACCTCAGGAAAAATATCTAATGCATTTTTAACAAACACTCAGATAATTAGAAACTGCATTATTTCTCACAGGGTAGAATGTTTTCCACTTGTTACACAAGGAAAATAGGCAGGGGAACACACTTTTTGTCTCTGCCTGTGATTGTCCCATGCCATGGGCTGCGAATGCACTAGACAGTTTTGAGGGAAGCCCACGGTCTCTCCATGATCAAACACATCTCTCCAAACAACTAAGTATTAATGACAACCCTGGATATGAATAATGGTCAATAATATCTGTGTGATCATGGCTGTGCCTTTTTCCTTTGGAATTTTCTCTGCACAGTGACGGTCATCTAGCTCTGAAAGTGGTCACATACCATCTGAAATCATCTCATTTGGTCAGACGTCATCAAGCTGTTTATAAACCAGTGACATTGGCTTTGTTCATGGACTTGGCCTGCATCTTCAACTTTGACTCTTGACTAATCTCCTCAAAATACGTACTAATAACAACAAGAGAGGCCCAAATACAGAGCAGATGTGTGGGCAAAACACATTCCCGTGACTGAAAATGCCAATCAAAGCAATCCACCATTGATGGTTGTCCAGCAGTTTTCCTAAGACACAAAAGACATTACAAATTCAATGATGTGTTTTCTATCCTGGTTAAGTGAGAGCTCCAAGGATGCTATTACAAGTGGGAGACTGATCTTAATTTTAGCAGTCTTTGTCATGTTGTACACAAGATCAAAATAAGCCTATAACTAAATTCTATCTCTTCAGGAACACCTTCTAGCAAAGGAACCATTTCAGATCATTTTAACCATTTCACGTGACTAGGTTTCCATTGTACGACTTAAGTCCCAAATAATTCCATGAATCCCATAAGACATTATAGAAACCTCTCCAACCTTGGTCTTCTTGGCCCAAAGCAAAAGGTTTCAGCAGCCAAGTATTGCTCTGGGGGTTATACATACATACAAATAAATGAGAACGATTATTTTGTGGATAAAAAGAAAAGAAACCCTCAAAAGTCAAAGTACCGTCATTTGAACACCTAGTTTTATCTACACAGCCAAGGGGAAGAGGATAGTGGAAGGGAATTATCCAGTTAAATACACAAAACCCCATGTCCTTGTCCTGAATTTCAGATGGCTTACTGCTACACTGATCACCTTCACAGATTGCCTTATCCCTTCACCGTGTGGATCCAGTTTTAACAAAGCAACAGCCAAAACTTGCTAGCTAAGAGACTAAAATGGAAACCAAAGTCACTTTAGAATTAATTCAAATTAATTCATAGCTAATTTCAGCTCGACTGACTGCAGTTTCGATTCTTGTGTTTACAAGATTATAGCTTCAGTTATATTTTCTGCTTACTCTGAGGGACAAGGGAGATTAAAACATATAAGTTGGGGTATATTATTAAAGAAAATAAAGCTCTTTCTATAAAGAAAAACTTGCATAGCATTTTATACCTAAACTTTTACAAAGAAGACACATCACAGTTCTATTTTGTTAAAAGTGAGAGAGAGAGAGAAAGCAAAACGATTGTGACATTAACTTCACGGGTTCCGAAAATAATGGCTAGTAGTAAAGGAAATACGCACACAGAGTGAAATGCCTAAATTTGATTTTAAAAAGAATTTTCAAAAGGTGTATTTTTTAGATAATGTATGTGATCGATAGCCCTTCTACATCTAAGGGATGGAAAGGAGTAAATTATACATGCTTTCTGAGGATGGACAATGCTTCAAAAACATCTAGAAATAAGCCCGGACATCCCTCTCTTCTCTATGCCCTCTGCTCTATTCCCTGCTCTGCCAAGATTATGGGAACAAGCCTTTACTCTCTGACTTGTTCATTTCTCATCTGTTATCCTGTTAATATAAGATTGATTATCCCTCCACAATTCCCAAAGAAGAGGAACATCCAAGATTGAAAAGGAATAAATGAAATTTCAAAAATGGCACAGGATCAAAGTCAGTCCAAGGTGGAAACTCAGTATTGCTTTAAAAAAAAATACATTATGTTGGCCAGCTTTGATGTGTCCTTCCAGAATTATTAGCAGTGAATATTAGCATACATCTTAAAGTGTATAAGTGTATATGGATATTTTGTGCAATCAAGACTGGCATCTATAATTTTCTTTCAAATTTTGAGCAGACGGGGAAAAAAACAAATGTAGCATCAACAGCTAATTACGAAAATATACATGAGGTGATTGGAAGACAAGAATTTGCAAGGGGATAAAGGTATTAATTCAAGCTATTTCAACATGATACTAACAAAGTCCATTGATATAGTAGAGCAGAACCACTGATCACTTGCTTTTGTCTACATGGCATCAATAATTTTTAAGTAACAAGTCTAGAATATTCCAAATATTGATCCCTTGTTGGTCTAAATATCATGTTGACATAGCTGCAGTGAATCTACCCAAATAATTCTCATTATCAAAAATAATTCCATTCAATATAATTCTTCCTATTTTATTAGCCTCTTCTAAAAAAAGTATTCTAGAATATATCTCTGTTGAATGTGATTCAACCTGACATATAATTTGAATAGTAACACTTTTTAAAGGGAGTTTCCTTGCTGGGACATCATAGCTGTCCCCGAAGATGACTGCAATCAGACTTAGGTCTCTAACTCTGTTATCACATAGGGTCTGGGAGGCATGAGGAGTGATTTTTAAGTTCCCCATCAGAAAGCCAACTCTGGGGTTGGAAGGTCTCTTCAAATTCATCTCATTTTCTTCATTCTGCCAGGTTGGCTTAACTCGTCTTACGGGAACTCACTCCCTTGTGATGCTTTCTACATTTCTTGTTTTGGGTCAAACCAGGGTAACTACCTCCTTTCTTATTATTTCGGAATTTTTAACTCTTCTTCCAGACTAGGAAGTACAGAAACAGCATGAAGATATCTGAGACATTTCTTGTTTTACCCATATTATTTATCCTCCCCTGACGAGTCCATTTTAATCTGCCCTTTCATCTGACCACCTACTCTAAGAAAGGAATTTATTCTGACAGCTTCAACAGCAAAGTGGTTAATGAGCATCATGAGAAAGAATCACTCGTTCTTTTCCCTTGGCGTTGGGTTCTCATTGTACAACCCTGTACAGTACTTCAGCAACTATTTTTTTTTTTTAAGATTTAAAAAGCAAAGAGTTACAAAACTGTTTGTAATTAACTTGAAATAGAAAAGATAGCACTTTTTTTAAATCCCATTATATAGTACACCGTATAAATTACAGAGTATTCAAATGCACAAATGCATCCGTGTAACATTTATCAAATGTAATTTGCGCGTCTTTATGTGCACACACGTGTGTGTTCCCAAGAGTTTTATTGTCCGCCTTTCTAACGCTGGACCTCTGGCTGTCACGTATGGCAGTGCTCCAGGTCTGGCACACTGCTGTTGCAGTATCGCATGTTGTTGGGGATATGGCAGTCTGTGTAATTAATGCCCCCATTTGGGGTGTAAATGGGCTGCAGTCTGAAATCTCCTTTAAGGAGCTGATCGTTATTTAAGGAGACAATCTGAAAGCTGGTTTCCGTCATCTCCAGGATGGAATTGTCCTTCTTGGTGCCTGCCTCGCAATAGTCATCTTTCCGCCGGCCTCGGTTGTATTTCCACTTCTGCGAGGTGTAGCGCCCCTTTTTGTGCATGTGCCAGCAGAAGACACTGAGCAAGACCACCAGCACAAATATCACCGCGCCCCCGATCAGGCCCGCCAGCAGAAAAGGGGAGCCCATGCTGTGGGATGTTGTCTGCTCATGGCTGGAAGCAGTGTTACTGCCATTGTTCACATAAGAAGCATGGGTGGTGGCCTCAGAACAAATGGTGTCTTCTACAGCTCGGTAGTTAAAAGCATCCAGTGGCACTAAACAAATCCGATAGGTGGATCTGGGCTCCAAATTAACCAGGCTCAAATGTTGCTTCTCACCACTGACTATGCGTTCCTGAACAATGCCCCCGACTAAACTGTGGCCCATTTTCACCCACGTGAGTTTGTAGGCCATCACAGTAAAGAGAGAGAGCCAGCTGACTTGAATGGAAGTGTCATTCACAAAATGGATGGAGAGTTGGATCCGTTCAGAGATAGGCGGGGTCACTCTTTCTCTGCCATCCCAGTCAGGAATCGTGGGAAGTTTCGATGCAGTAGGAGTAAGAGGTGTATAGCTTCTACTAGGGCTTGGGGCAGAGAGTGTGGGAGGCTGAGTTGTGGGAGAAGCTGTACTTGGGGCTGGGGTGAAGAGAGGCAGGCCGGGGGTCGTGGTGGGACATGACAAGAGATTCATATTCAACTCCCTGACAGCCATCCCGCGGACTTGTTCAGGACCTTGGCACATGAAACCCCGCACGTTGAGAGACGAAGGGATATATTTGAGCCATTCCGTGACCCATTTAATACCGCAGTCACAAAACCAAGGGTTATTCCGAGCAGTGAGCTGCTTCAGGTTGGAGAGATTATCAAAAACCCCTTGAGTCAACATGCGCAGTTGGTTGTTGGATATATCCAGTCGCTCCAGCTTACGGAGATTTGAGAAGGCTGTCAAAGGGATGTGGTTTATCTGGTTGTCCTGCAGATAGAGCCTGATCAGATGTGTACCTGGGAGATCAGGAGGGGGGTGGGAGAGCGAATTCCGTACAATTGAAAATTCCTTGAGCTTGGTGAGATGGCTGAAGGTGCCCTCGGCAATGCCCTTGTTGGTCAGGAGATTCCCGTCCACGATCAGACGCTCCAAGCTCGTGAGGTTCTGAAAGGCCATGTCTGATATGACAGCAATTCGATTTTCGTCCACTCTCAGCTCTTGCAAGTCCACAGGAAGCCCAACAGGCACACTGCTCAGGTGATTCTTGGATAGAAACAACAATTTCAGACTAATAGCCTCCCGGAAGGCCCCATCTTCCACCCCTACTGTGGATATAGAATTGTCATCCAGGTGTAGCTCTTCGAGCTTCAAGAGCTGGGCAAGAGCCGCCCGTGATATGGTCTGAATATTGTTTTCCTGCAGATGGAGAACTCTGACATTCTTGGGAAGGTTCATGGGGAATTCATCCAGTTGGTTGCCATAAAGGTAGACCGTGTGCACTGACTGTACGTTGTGCAGTTCTGCAGGAAATCCAGCATTATTAATTTGGTTGTTGTGGAGGTAGAGTACGGTTACGCCCTCCGGGATCCCAAGAGGCACTGAGGTCAAGCTTCGCTCATTACAGTAGACAAAGTTCCTGTCACAGCGGCACACGCTAGGGCATGCCAGGATTTCTGACACTTGTGAGTAGAGCCCCAGGGAAATGAGAAGCCAAGATTTCAGGAAAAAAGCCCCATGGCTGGGCCACTGCGTAGTCTGTAGGCCCATTTCTGAAGCACAAAAATAAAATACAAGGTGGTGGGGAAAAGAAAAAGAACAAAAAAATAGATAGCAAAACCAAAATGACTGGGTGGGGTTCTGTGAAGTCCAGAACTCCAACTAGAGGAAAAGTCTCGAAGGCCCAAGGTAAAAGAATCTTCCTGTGGTCTCTGGTCTTGTCAGCCTGTGTTGCCCACTTTGCTATTGTCCTCCATGTGCAAAACAATTTCAGTAGGGAGAGTTCTCCACACAGGCAACAAGTGATGCCAAGTTGTTAGCGGTCACCAGGGGCCCAATTGGGCAGGCAGAACTCCCTCTTCTGTTGTAGGTCAGGCCAGCGTTGATCAGCCTATGAACTTCTTGGTTAAGCTGAGTCTGCAATCTGTTGTAGGAAAGTAGAGAGAAAAGAGTCAGTTAAAGGCAGTAATGGAAGAAATGCTGATCAGAGGGTATACCTTCTGAGCATGATGTGATTGGGACTAAATGACCAGAGGCAGCTGTTGGCATTAAGTGATATTCTAAGTAACAATAATTTAGTTGAAAAGGTGTTCAAGAAACGAATGATCTTATCTTATCTTTAAAAATGATCAATTATCTTATCTTTAAAAGAAAACCATGATGAATTATTTAAAAGAAAACCATACTGTCCCTCATACTATCAATGATCATATTGTGAATTTTACATCCCAATCAGTATGTTCTCTTCAATATCTATTTGCACAACAGGCACACACTGTTGAATCCACTGCACCAAATAATGATGACTTACAAATCCAACTGGTCACAGTCTTGTCTCAAGACGAAACAAACTGAGCAACTAGTAAAATTTAAGGGAAAATGTAAAACCCTTTATAGTTATAAATAAACAAATGCAAAATGAGGACAGATAAAGTCATTTAAAAAGATGCATCCTTTTGATCTGACACTGTGATGAAGCAGTATAAACCTAACCAACAGAAGCACATGAGAAAGTAGAGAGAAGACTTCTTTTTAGTTCCCCACTTCTTCCCTCCTCTCGTCTTTGTCTTCCTCCAAAACAGCTTACTCTCAAGTTACCAAGTAGAATGATCAAATTCTAGTCCATGACACATGTCCCCTTATTCCCTCCTTGGGGACCTCCAGGTACAGATGAAATACACCGCTGTAACCCCATTGAGAGCTGCCAAGCTCATGACTAGGAATAAATTATTTTGCAACAACAGCACCTTCCTTCCATCTGTAAGTGTCTTCCTGCTTTTAAAGAGGAGTTTCGGCAAACTTTGAAATGATAGAAGGCACAGTTGGGGAAGTAAAGGCAATCCACAGATAGTAATCATGCCTTCTTGCTCCAGAACACGTTCCATCAGTTTTTAAATTCGAGAGGTAAAGAAGTTAATTGAAAGGTGCCAGATTTGATTTCCCTACAAAATAAGCTAACATGACAGGACATGGCAAGCTATGAGTCTCTTAATTCTCACCAATACACAGAAATTGAAACAAAGTATATCTAAAACCACAGAGCAACTATTTGAAATTGTTCCTCAAACTATCTTTAGAAACATAATGTAAAAAGAAAAAAAAAACATTGTAAGTGCTATTTAAGTGTCAAGAATATTGTAAATTTGTTCTACAATTTAAAAGATTATGAACCATATAAAAAAATGCCTTTGATGACCAGAAACGGTAAAATTCATTTTTCATTGCTCAAAAACCTTTTAAAAAGGAGGGATGGGGAGTTTCTTTTCAGGCAAAAGCAGATGCATGTGACACTTTATTAAAAATCAAGCATTATTTAATTTGTTAAAACTTATATGTTTTGTCACTGAACAGGAGCTATCCCCTCCAGCAAAAATATCCCTACATGCTTAAAGAATAATTTATAATAGAATTAAGGGTAGTATAGGAAAAATGAGTTTAATGCCATCAGCTCGATGCCATTCTTAGCTCAGGTTTCAAATTTTCAAACCGTCTGAATGCTCCCTGATAACTTGCTACTCGAGTGTGATCCTCGGTCCAGCAGATTGAGGTTGACCTGGGCAGTTGTTAGACCACAGAATCTGCATGTTAGCAAGAGCCTAGGGTATACACATTAAAGTTTGAAAAGCAATGCCCTAAACACAGTGCCAACTTATTTAATTACTCAAATGTTTTAATTTATTAAATGTAAAATAAATGCATGTCAATTGACTCTTTTGAGAAGCATAAAGGCATAAGGCATACTAAGAAATTTTGTCCCCAGGAGATAGTCTTCAACTACATTTTATATGTAAACAACATCTTATACAGGGAGCAGTGCAATGACTATCTATGTCACTAGGCCTCAATGGACTCTTGCAAATTGTTTGTCTGAAAGACAACCACTAATGTCAAGCAGAAGCTTAAAGAGTTATTTATAATCAGAGGAGCCCACTTTTAGAAAGCAGCTTTTGTTTAAGAATAAAAAAACTGTTTGGTGCTATTAGCATTTACTCTTCCAAAGAGGATAGTGAGACTAAAAGAATAGAATCTAA